TGCACCTCCAAGTATTCAGCAATCTGGAAAGATTTCCAAACTTGTCCTTTTGGATTTTTATGGAGGAAGGCTACTGGAGATCAGCTCAACTTTTAAGTCTTTAGGTCAGAAGGTGGGGTGAAAGTTCAGTTGCTCTGATCTTTTGGTTAGTTCTCTTGGTAGCTAGCTCTCATTCCGAGCTCCCAAATAAAATTCATCTCATTAGTAAACAAAATGACAGATACTACCTGGGAGATTGGGATGGTTTTAAAAGCTGCATGCCAACCAGGAAGCGGAAATAAAACCAAAATATTTATGTCTTACTTTATCACAGTGTCACACATGGGCTCAACTTCACTGTTTTGTATATGCACATCCAGTTATTCTTTCTTGTGGAAGAAACTATTCTTTCCCTATTGAATGGACTCAGTACCCTTGTTGAAAATTAACTGGCCATCACCAATTCTATTGCATTTACCTACATGTCTACTCTTGTTCCAGCAGCCCACTGTTTAGATCACTGTAGCTTTGTACTAAATTTAAAATGGAAAATTGTGAGTTCTCTACCTTCCTTTTTAAACCATTATTTTACTTACTCAGGACCCTTAGAATTCCATATTAATTTGATGATATGCTTTTCCACTCTTGCAAGAAAGGAATTTTAGTAGAGCTTTGTAGTGGATCTGTAGATTGCTTTGAGTAGTATTGACATCTTAATAATACTGCCCAGTGTATGAATACAGAAGTGTTTTTAGTGCAGCAATCTTTTCAGTGTAAGTCTTTCACTTTTTTCTTTAAACTTATTCATGGGTATTTTATTCTTTAAGACACTATTATAAATAGAATAGAATAGAATAGAAATAGAATCTTTTTGGGTTATATAGAAATACTAATCATTTTAAGAATTAATTTTATTGGTACATTTTAGATATACATAATGGTCACATTCATAGGAGATTTGTACCTTTATATGATAATCTTAATTTTTTTTACCATTCTCCTCCTTTCCTTTTGACACCTCTTCCTCTCCTTATTTACAGAAGCTTTTCTGCCATTTTTTCCTTCTATCTTTTCCCTTTCTTCCCTTCCCCTTCCTACCCTCCCTAGTTCCCATTCACCTTTGAACACTTTCTTCCTATTTCACTATATCTGTTGTAGACTTTGGTCCTTATTTACCCTTTAGTTTCTCACATTAGAGAAACAATGTGATATTTAAACATGTGTCTGATTTGTTTCACTTAAGAGTACAGTCTCAAGGTGCATCCATTTATCTAGAAAAGTCTCAAGTTTATCCTTCTTTGTGGTAGAGCAGTACTCCATTATATAAACAAACTATCTTCTCTTTATCCGTTCCTTGGTTGATGGTCATTTAGGCCATTTCTAAGGTTTAACTATTACAAACTGCTGCCATATACATGGGTTTGGATATATTACTGTGGTATGATGCTTTTAACTCTTTTGGGAAGATACCAAGAAGGGGAATAACTGGGTCAAACCTCTGGTTTTAGTTTTCTGAGAAATCTCCACACTGACTTCCACAGTGGTTGCAACAGCGAATACTCCCATCAGTAGAGGAGAAGGGTTCCTTTTTCCCATGGCCCCACCAACATTTCTCATTGGTTGATTTCTGAGTGAGATAAAATCTCAGTGTTGTTCTAATTTGTATCTCTTGAATGACAAGTGATGTTGAACATTTTTTTCATATATTTGTTTCGCTCTTTCTACTTTTTGTTTACTTTTGTCTGTTCATTTCAGATGCCCATTTCTGGATTGGGCCTTTAAATTTGGAGGTCCTGATTTTTTTTAGTATATCCTAGACATCATTCTTTTGTCTGAGGAATAGCTGGCCCAAATCTTTTCCCACACTGGGTTGTCCTTTTTCTCCACTGGTGGTTTCTTTTGCTGTGCAAAAGCTTTTTACTGAGATCCCAGTTGAAGGAACATTAATTTTTGTGCATTCATTATACCCTACAACTTTGCCACACTTATTGCTAGATTGCTTCTCATTCTTTGTAATTTTCCATATATAAGATTGTGTCATCTTCAGATGGTTTTACCTCTTGCTTTCCAAACTGGATGCTTTCTTTCCTTGCAATTATTCTGGCTGAAACTTTCACTATTGTATTGAATAGTGTGGTAAAACTAGGAATCCTTGATCCCATTCCGATCTTCACAGGAAAGGTTTTATTCTTTCATACTTGAGTAGGATGTTGTTTTCCTTTAGTACTTTTTATAAGGTTAAGGAAGTTCTATTTCTATTTCTCTATTTTTATGAATTTTTTATAATCTAGAAAGGCTGTTGGATTTTGTCATACTCTTTTTGTGACAAGTCAGATAACCATGTTTTTGCCTTTGTTCTTTTTTTTTTCTCCGGTACCGGGAATCGAACTTACGACCTTGCGCTTGCCAGGCAGGCGCTGTGCCGCTAAGCTAAATCCCCAGCCCCTGCCTTTTTTCTTAAAGTGGTATACAATGGTACCGTGGTTTACAAAGTTAATGTATGATTTTTGGGGAAGATGGCCGCATTTGTGTTTGTGTTGAGAAGATGGCCATGGTCGTGCTTGTCACCTGATGTGTAGTTAGTGAACGGAGGCAAAATTTTGCTGAATATTTTTGTTTGTGAATCAAATTATTTGCAAACAGAAGCATTCATGAACCAAGGTATTACTGTATTACCTTGATTTTCATATGTTGACCCATCTACCTTTGGATGCTTGAGATAAATCCCACTTGCTCATTGTGCGAAATCCCTTTAATATGTTGTTGCATTTGGTTTACTGCTATTTTGTGGAGGATGGTTTTCATTTGTAAGAGACACTAGTCTGTAGTATTCTTTTCTTGTGGTCCTTTTCTGGCTATAGTCTTAGGGTAGCACTGATCTCTACAATGAATTAGGAAATAGTTATCTGTTCCCTTTTTTTTCTATTTTTTTTGAAAGAAATTGGTATTAATTGCTATTTAAATGTTTGGTACAATTGACCAGTGAAACTATCTGCTCTTAGACTTTTCTTTATTGGGAGTTTTTTTGTTTTGTTTTGTTTTGTTTTAATAGACTTAAGTTTTTAAAGCAGTTTTGGGTTTACAGCAAAACTGAACAGAACTCCCATATACTTCCTGCACCCTCAGCTTCCTCCACTGTTAACATCCTGCACCAAAGCAGTATATTTGTTAGAACGGATGAACGTACACCAACACATCACTATCACTCCAAATTCATAGTTCGTCTTGGGAATCATTCTTGCGGTTTGGAAGTTTTTGATTACTGATCTAATGTCTTTATTTTTTCAGTCCTTTCAGATTTTTCGTTTTGTGAATCAGTTTTGGTAATCAGTATCATTCTAGGAATTTTCCCATTTCATCCAGACTATCTTAATATGCTGATGTACAGTTCTTTTTTTGTATGCACTTGGCTTTAATGTTTTCACTTTCATCTCTGATTTTAGTTACTCATCTTGCTTCGGGGCTGTGGACTACACTGCTGCTCCGCAGCCAATTGGGATAGTAAACTCAGCACCAGTGACAAATTAAAGGAATTAAAGGAAGGAAGCTTAAGAGGGAAGACACTTTATTTGTAAGAAGGACAAATCAGAAGACAGAAAGCTGCACTGAGAGATGGGCAGGGAGCCCTGGACCAGAGAGCCACAAGTCTTTGTCCTCAGCTTCCTTTTATCAGGTGATGAAGACCCTCCCTCCCAGGTCAACTCCTGGAACTTGTGACAACTTGATTAGTTCCCTGGACTTAGATCTTACGCCACAGGACCTTAACCCGGGTGCCTCGCCTATGTGCACATTCCTAGGTGGGCTTTGACTTTTTCCGCTGCCCATTAGTCCTTGTCAGGACCTTTTCTCTGGGATTTATAGGAGGAGGTTAGGAGCCTTAAATACAAGGTACCTTGGAGTTAAGTGATTTAAGAGGATATGGGTGAATACATCCCTAGAGTGAGAATATATGTGTACAGATGCATAGGCGTGTCTTATATACTTAGTAAGTTTTCTTGTAAGTGGTTGTACCTTGTCTCCTTCGCATTTTTTTGGAGGTGGGGAGCAGCTGCTAATTAGGCTCCTGACTTCCTCCTCGCTCTCCTTATTTCTCCAGCTTAACCCCTTAATTGCTCTCTTCAGCCAAGTCTTAACTCTTTCTAATCAGGACTTGCCAGAAAGCCTGAGACCCTTATTTTATTCTTTCCTTGCTTAGAGACCCCTTTTCCCTACATTCACAAAGAATCAATTTTGATTTCCCTGATTCTCTGTTGTTTTTTTCTTTTCTGTTTTTTTTTTTTTTTTTTTTTTTACAGACTTATCTTTGAGTTTGGTGATTCAGTCTTCTGCCTGTTCACATTTGCTGTTAAAGCTGGCCTTGAACTTGCAACGATCCTCTTGCCTCAGCCACCTGAGTGTTGGGATCACAGGTGTGTGCCACCATGTCCAGCTGATTTTTCTTTAAGATTTGGTCTTATGGATTTGTTCAGGATAGCCTGACTGCATAATCTTCCTGCCTTAGCCTTCTGAGTAGCTGCGATTAAAGACGTGAGCCACTGGGCACAGCTGTATTATATTTCCTTAATGATGAGTGATGTTGACAATCTTTGGACATGTTTACTGGCTATCTGTGTGGCTTTTCTATGGTGTGTGTATCTTGTAAAGAGAATTGTCTATTCAAATTCGATGCCCATTTATTAGGTTGTCTGACTTTGGTTATTGAGTTGTTGGAGTTCTCTATATATTCCAGACCCTTATCAGTTATGTGATTCCCAAGTATTTTCTTTCATTCTTTGGGTTGCCTTTTTACTACATCCTCTGATACACAAGGGTTTTACATTTTAATGAAATCAATTTATATATTTTTTCCTTTGTCATCTATGCTTCAGTGTCATGTCCAAGAAATCATTCCCAAATTCAAGATCATGAAGATTTTTGTACTACATAAACCTAAAGGAAAAGGTAAAGAAATAACTGTGAATATTAAAAGCTAGATAGAAGACTGGAACCAAATCACAAATTGTGAAGAGGGGAAAGAAGTATTCACGATAAAGAAAGTAGAGAAATTTATTGTATGATTCAGTCCACAAAATACCTTCAGGATAACATTAAAATATATTAGTATTTGACCTGATTTGTCTTTTGAAGATTTCTCTGGTAGCCACTTCAAATAATTTGTATAATTCAGCATAAATAGTTTATGAATATTTTAAAAAGCCAATAAAAGGGCATTTTACAATGGTTCATCATATAAATACATATTACATAATATATATTGATGGATTGGAGTTCTGAGTTTATACAATATTCCTGATTCTACCTTCTCTACCATACATGGCAAGTATTAAGTTTGATATTCTTGTTTTGAGTTGTTTGCCATAATGAATCAATAGTTAAGAATTTGTTTCTTTTATATATGTTAGATTGTACCCATTCAAAATACAGACTCCCTTGAAAGAAGCAACTTGAGAACATGTTTTGTTGAAGTACTTACTAATTTAGCTCTAAAATACTTATTTTCTTTATAGCATTTAGTTTCACAAGATTAGCCCCTTCACCCTTAGTATTTTTGTAGGCCTATTTTGTAGCCTGAAAAACTGCCATAAAGGAAACACAATCTATTGCTTACCCTCTCAGCTACTCAATTTAAGAGTGGGGAGTAGGCCTCAGAGAACTTTTGCATGGCTTCACAGGCTAAAAAAAGCTCTGGTGTAATTAGTCAACTCTGCTGTTGCAATGCAGAAGCAGACTGGACAGTAGTGTTGGTGTGGCCACATCTGACTCATGCCTGTTTTTCCTTTAGTGTAGCAAAATGACACTAGTCCATATAAAATATCTAACATGATAAATACCAATTTAGGGTCTCAAAGAAAGTTATAAAAATGTTTTAGTCTTTTGGCATAAACACTATGTACTGCCTGCAAAGTACTCTCTGGTCTAAACAGATGAACGTAAGTTTCATTCTTTTCTTACCTGAGATATTTATTAAGACAGGGTAATGTGGAGTCTATAAAATAGCTCTGTGGATACACATTATGTAAAGAGGACATGATATTACCTCTAGCATCATAAGAACCCCAGCTCCCAAATAATAATGACTCTTCGGTAATAAATATGTCTCCAACATGTTGAATGTCAAAGGGCAATAAGTTCTCCCTGGCAGTGATTACAACAATTGAAAGTTATATTCTCATATCTAGTATAGGGATGAAATCGTCCAATATTTTTCTTTGCAGCAAGTAATGTGGTTGTTGAAGACTCAGCAAACGGACTGTCAGCTGAGCTTTCTGTACAGGTAACTGGATCCAGAATGCGCAGAACCTAAGGAAAACGAGAAGTAGTATCAGATGTATGCCGTATGAATTATAAATGCCTTTGGTTTCACTGACATAAAACTTCATTTCATTTCATTGTTATGGACCTGCCCTGCCATAAATGATAATATTTGAATGATGAATTTGAGAAGTTATTTCCTTTCTTTTTTTGGGAGGATTGGGGAGGTTGAGACAGGGTCTCACACTGTAGTGTAGGTTGGCCTTAAACTCACTATGTAGCCCGAGCTGGCCTTGAACTCATGGCAGTTCTCCTGCTTCAGCCTCCTAAGTGCTGGGACTACATGCATGTACCACCATACCTGGCAATATTCCCTTTTTCATAAAGCTATTAATTTAACAGTGATGTCCAGTTTATTACATTACCCTAGGTTATCTATTTTTTAAGTAATGATGAAATTATTGCTGTTTTATGGATACTGATGAAAAGGAATAAAAATGTAGAAGTTATATCAATTCTACCTTAAGTGATACCAATTTTTTATCTTTAACCAAAAAACATCCATTGTCCTTCTTCAATCTTTCATTCAACTGCTTAGAGTCAACATTCTGCCTTTATTCTTCTATTGAAATGCTATTTCAAAATCTTTGGTTACTTATTTATAAAACAAATGGCTTTTCATTTCTTTTTACAATTTGTATACAATATTTTATGCTAATAACTATGTTCTTATTTCTTGGGTCCCACAACACTAAACTCTTCCAATTCTGCTGACTTTTCCTGCTCTTTTTTTCCTTTACTGAGATTTAAAGTGGAAGATTTCTTGGACTGCAAAAAGTTCTCCAATTAAGAGGAAGGCTAACATATCTGGACCCCAGGTGTTATATCATGTTCATTTTCTCCCAATAATCATCACATGATGATGAATTATGTTTCAAAGCAGTAGGCAATGGAAAGAAACTGTAAAAGGAACCAGGGAAAGTCTTTGAACTCAATTTGTAGCCCAGGATGGATTTAACTCATGATCATCCTTCCTCAGTTTCCACATTGCTGGAATTACTGGCTTGTGCTACTATGCCTCGTTATTTTCTTCTCTTCTCCCTTTTTTAAGGTAAGGTCTTACTGTGTTGATCATATGGTCTCTTAACTCCTAGACTCAAGTGATCCTCCTGTCTCAGCCTACCAATTATCTGGGACTACAGGTGTGAACCACTCATCTGTCTTGGACCTCTATTTTTGAAGTAGACTTTGCTTGTTCAGTTTTGTCTTTGAGATCCATTTTTATGGAAGTTCGTTAAGCGTTCAAGGACCAGCAAAGATGAAAAGCTTACCTTAGTTACTAATAAATTTGTAGGCAAAATAAGTTTTTAAATATACATGTTTACTGCATTAAGGTTCTTCAAAGAGAGAAACAGTACAATTCAGTAGAAGGAAATAGAGTGATACACTACTATGGATAAAAAGACTTCTGAATTTGGACCAAACGTGATGGGGAGGGATTTTATGTAGAGTGCCGTTCAAGAAGATCTATACAAAGTGTGGAAAGTGGGAAAAGGTGTGGACTTAAAGCAGAACAGAAGATAGGTTATTGTAATTATCCAAGATATGGTGGCACTTTGCAGAAACGGGGCTGAAAGGTTCAATGGACACTAAGGAAGGGAGGCAGTGGAAGCCTAGAGAAGGAATAGGTAGATCTGCCGATGAGACTTAGGGGGTGCTGCCTCACACAGGTGGTACAGAGGCCAGGCAACAGGAGATGTGTGAAAAGAGTAGTCTATGTAGAAAGACATATATGTTCAGGGGATTGAGGGTACAACAGTCTCCATGTGGAATAAGGAACAGAGACACTAGGAAATGATCCTTGAGAAGGAATGGAAAAAGATTATGAAAAGCCTTCTACACTGTATGAAACAATGCAGCTCAATAATGAGAAAAATATGGTGACAGAGCTAGCATTTCTGGAGTAACCGAGTAGAGGACTGGGCTAGGAACAGCTAAGAAGTGAGGCAGGAGTGTCAGTGAGAGGACTGTTGCACTAAGCCAGGCTGGTGATTTGAGCTAGGGAGAGGAAGTAAATCTGGAGGAACTAATAAAATCTATAGGATTAGGGGGATTAAGAAAATAAAAATGACAGTGATTATTTACTGTGAAATTGCTACATATTAGAAATTGCTACAGGTTTTGTAGGTATTATTTCATCAAATCCTGAAAATACCATATACAGTAGATACAGTTCACTAAGATAGGGAGTGTATGAGAAGGTTAGTGTTATGGTTTATGTCTGGATGTCCCCCCAAAGCCTCGTGCAGTCATGGGGTAGGCTTCTAGATATTGGGAGCTGCTGGAGCTGGATACTGGTCAGATGTGTGAGAGCAGGACACAGCTAGAGTACCTCAAGCAGTCAAGCTACATCAGTATTGAAAAAAGTTGGGCTGGGGATATAGCTCAGCAGCACAAGCGCCTGCCTAGCAAACTCAAGTTTCTGAGTTCAATTCCCAGCACCAAAAAAAAAAAAAAAAGAAAGAAAAAGAAAAAGAAAAAGAAAAAAGCATCCTGCCTGGATAATTACAGTCCTTGGTCTCTAGGCAACATTACTGCCTCCCCCGCCCCCCCCACATGATACTAACTTCAAAAGTGTGTAAAATAAATGCCTCTACTGTTGAAGTTAGCCCTCTTCCTATCAGGTAAGAGGTAACTCCACTGGACCCAGCTCTTGTCTCTTGTCTTTATTTTTCTCATACCCACCACCATTTTTCTCCAGGGTACAATGAGAGACCAGTGAGGTTCCCTACATCTAGAGTTTATGATTGACTCATGGTCCAATGTTGGGATTATGGGTGTGAGTGCTACACCCACCCTGGGGCAGGTAGTTTGCATACAGTGTAAGGGAGGGAAAGAGGTTGCTTGCTGCCACTTCTCCCTTTTTGCTCCTGTTGCTTTTGCTATTTTCGCTGCCATGAACTGTTGCCCTCTGCCATGTGCCACTCTGCCTTGGAGCCAGCTGATTATAGACTGAAACTTCCACAAACTGAAAGCTAAATAAACCTTTTCTTCCTTAATTTTAGGCATCAGGTATTCTGTCTCAGCAACAAGAGAGAAGTAACCAAGACAATTTGTTTTTTCTCTTTGGGAGATGGGTATACTAATGCAAAATCTAGAAGGAAAGAGGGTATTCTATTTTTAGTTGTAGGTAGAACTAAATAGAAACATGCAGCTAGATATAAATCTCTTAAAATCAGAAAATATATCTCAGAGAACTCACAAGCATAGAGCTTAGGTAATAAGATAGTCCTCAAGAGAATGCACGTGTGATTTGAGGAAGGTCTCAAGTGTGGTCACAGGAAGAGGATGTCCCCTCCCTCTCAAGTACTGAGAAAGAATGGGCACAAAAGTAGTGAAGATCTGGGGAATATGGTGTTTCAGAAATGAAGGACGTCTAGCACAGTGGGAAACAGGTTCTGATGGAACATCATTTAAAGGCAGAAGAAAGTTTGTAATGAAGAACTCAGAGTTAGCATGAAGGCCAAGAGATAGTAACAGACGAGAGTTTCAAGGAAGAAATACCTGATAAAAAATGTAATATAATCATAAAGTAAATATTCTTCACCTTCATATGAGTGCTCTGTGAGAACTGTGGGGCTGGAAGTGCTCTTCACTGTTAAGTGGTGTCAGAACTAAGGAACAGATGGTATGCAAGAACAAGTATGTGTCCAGGGTTGTTCTCTGTGAGGGGAAGGTGATAAGGCCACATCCAGGAAACTTATGATACAAGCAATTTTGTTTATTAGATGGATGACACTTGGGCATGTTCTTAACCCAAAAGAGGGACTAAAAATTTGAGAAAGAATGGATGGCAATGGGGTGGGGGGTAGCACTGATAAACCTGTGTGTTAACTATGATTTGGGTCTACGAGGGACTCCTTTTTCTGGGAGCAAAATGTTCATAATGCTCCTTATCATAGATATACAGGCTTCTGGACATCAAGCAAAACCACAAGGACCTGTGCCAGCTTTTTCTTTGTGAATTAGGAATGAAAATTCTCTACTGACTGTAAGGTAGTAGTTTGGTGGGTAGCAAAATAAAGAAGGCAATCAGCTGAACTGACAAAGGACTACTGGGGTTCTCAGGGTACTAGGGTAGAAGGATCAAGGAAGTAATGTACTTAAGAATGCAGTCTAAAAAAAGGAATGAGGTCTAGGCAAGATAGGAAGGGAGAGAGGCAGGGAATGAGCTGTTGAGATGAAAGACATAAAGAAATCAAGGAATTAAAAATGACGACATGATCAAGGAAGAGGGGCAGTCAGAGTGAATCAAGGATAGCTAGATAGAAAAGAAAGTGATAATAGACTACAGAGAGATAAATATTGTAATAGTGAAATAGTTGTACTGAATGAAAAGGCCTAAGAGGAGGACATGGGTGCTAAAGTTTTTTGAGGGGTGTGGGGGTGGGGTGGGGGTGGATTTGAGACAAAGTCTCACTATGTACCCCAGGCTGGCCTTGAACTCTTAATTCTCCTGCCTCAGCCTCCCAAGTTGTGGGATTATAGACATGCACCATCACATCCTGGTAGTGTTAAAATTTTTAAGGGGTGAACTTGGTTATTATCATGAAACTTTAAGACCACAGTATTTAATGTTGCCTGCATGGACCTTGAATTTTTTCAGGACTGTCTGTACTTGGTGTATATTTTTTTTTTTCCCAGTACCGGGAATCGAACTCTCGACCTCATGCTTGCCAGGCAGGCGCTGTGCCTCTGAGCTAAATCCCCAGCCCCTTTGGTGTACATTATTTAATTGTGCATTATTTGGCGCATTACCATCTACCTGCAGGAATTAAACAGTTTTCTTAGATGGGAAGTACCTATTTAATTTACTAATGATTACTAAATTAAAAATTTTACAATGTTTTTTTCTCAAAATTATTATCAAAAAGTACTATCAATGATTTGTTAGCTTAAAAAATAGGACCTCTTTTAAAACATATTTTTCTTCTTAGAATAGAACAGTAATGTTAAAGAAAACTAACAAGAGGAAATAATTTTCTCCAAGATCACAAGTTACTAGATGAACATTATGGGCAGAGCTAATGTTTCCCAATTCCAAATGCCAAACACCTTCCATTAGAACATGTCATTTTTCATTGAAGGGAGAGTAAAATTCCACAGATCATAAAAGCAGCTCTATGGATTAGGAAAGAGACAATCTTTTACCTTTTCAGCCATCTTCTCTGCTGGGGTGCTGCAGAATTCAACTGTTGATGGAATCTTCTTTTGATTGCTGATGCCAACATTTCCCAGAAGATGAGAATGTACTGCTTTTGCCAGTTTGTGATTGGTTAATGCCAGTTCTGCTGTGCTGTGGGGCTGGGCACTAGGGGAGTAAGTCTGCTCTCTTCCCCACTGCAAGGAAACCAAGAGCTCCTCCAAAAATCTGCACAGAACATACACGAGCACAAACATTAATGAGGACAAAATGTAGAAATCCGTAATAGCACATACACATACATCTGAGGTTATTTACTACCTTTTTCTCTCAGAGTTCAGGAAATCTGGTAAACAACTTATTCTATAAAAAGTACCAGCCAGTCTAGTAGGAGGTTATCTGGAAATCATTCAATAAATATTATTTTTAGATGTTATTCTATTTTAGTATAGGAACTAGTGATTTATGTACATCTATGATTTTTCTTTTTTGGTGAATTACATTTACTGATTTTTGAATGTTCAACCAACCTACAATACCTGAGATTAACCTTACTAAGTCATAATATGTAAGCTTTTTTCTGTCACTTGATTTGAATCATTAAAATTCTCTTCAACATTTCTGCATCTATATTTGTAAGAGATACTGGCCTGCAGTTGTCTTAAAGTGTCTCTGGTTTTGGTACCATGAAAATACGGGCCTCAAAAAAATGAACTGGAAATTGTTTCTTCTTTTTCCATACTCTAAAATAATTTGGTTTTTTATTTAAGAGGTTTACTAGTATGTACTAGTGAATCCATCAAGGTCTTAAATTCCTTATACTGGATGGTTCTTAACTACAAATTCAATTACTTTAGTAAGTCAGGGCTATTCATGTTATATGCTTGTTCTTGACTACCTCTGGTAAGTTTATTGTTTAAGGAGTTTGCCTATTTCACCTATATTATATTTACTGCTGTAGAGTTGTGAATAACATTCTCGCATTGCCTTTTCTATGTCTATACAATTGGCAGTGTAAACTTTCTTTCATTCCTGATAGTGGGAATATTCTAGTTTTCCTAATTAGACTGCTGGTGGTTTCTTTTCTTCCAAAGAACTAGCATTTAGCTTTCTTTTATTTAGCTCTTACCCTTGTTCTCTTTCTTCTGCTTATTTTGGGTTTAATTTGCTTTTTGGGTTTATTGAAGAAGTTTAAGTAACAAATGAGATCTTTCTTTTCTAAATAAACATTTAAAGCAATGAATTTCCCTCTAAATACTGCTGGTTTCCTTTCACAGATTTTGTCCTTTGTTTTCCTAATTTCCCATATAATTTACTCTTTGACCCTTACTGATTATCTTGGTAATAAATTATATAAAAGTACAAGATGCTCTTAAGGAAGACTGCTCATTTTTTTGGGAATACTATCAGTTTTGATAATTTGGAGTGTATATTTATGAAAACAAATATTAATACTACAGAAAGTCTTCAAAATGATCTTCTTACACAAGACAGGTGCATTCCTTTGCTTCTACCAGAAACTGTACGAAACTACTATAACAATAACCAAAAGCTGTATTTAAGTTCAGACATTAATTCTATTATAAGTAATTCTCTCCCCAATTTAGAATGTGAAAAGAAGCATACTTTTTTTATTTTTTTAGGCCTCCTCCCTTCCAGGAAGGGAGGATTTGAAGTACTATTTTAAAGTACTACTCAAAGTATACATTCAGTAAGTTACTAAATGTAGACACATATACAAACACATACACACACAACAAAGCAAAAAACCAAACAAAAAAGACTTAAGAAAAACCTTTCACAATAAAAAAAATTGCAAGAGAAACCAGAAAAGTTTAGACTGTCAACCAGTGCCATACTTCTGGGTAGCTATCATTTCCTGGCGAAACTGCTCCCGTTCACTCAGGAGATCTTGGATAGCACTTTGTGCATCACGGTTTTGACGCTGTAAAGCTGCTTTGGAGTTGGTTAGCTCATCTGCCATTACCCTGAAAAAGATCAAAATATTACCTACAAATTCCCCAACAATAACCATGTACGGAAGTTAATATATTAACGAAGATTTAACAGTCAAATTGCTTTGTAGTTTTAAAATTTTCACTAAAAATTATTTTAAAATGTTTATGACTTTAGGCTCATTATAGGCATCCAGTTAAAATACTTAGTTACAAAATGACCAATTAAATATTTTATTTTTCTATATAATGACTTCTGAATTTACCCCAATTTTACTACAGCTTGATTATACTGTGAAAAAATTAAATGTTTTGAAATACAGAAATGTTTTAAGAGGAAAACAAAAATGAGTTCTTTTCCTGCTACTGAACTACACTTGCTTTTAGGAAAACATTAATATAGGATGGCTGCTCTAAAAGGAAGGCTTAGTCTTGCCTCCTGCCCAGCATGCCCATTCTCTATGTGTAACCATATATTTCCCCCAAATTATATGTATTTCAATATAAATATTTAAAATATATATGCAATTTATTTATAAAAAGGGATTATTTAATGCAAGTTTTCTACACACTTCCTTTTTCACTTATCTTTAAAAATTTTCCATCTTAGCACATGTAGAGCTATCTCATTTCCCAGTTTAAAAAATGAGTCTCATGCTTTCTTTTTGTTATTTAACAAAATAGTTCTCTATTGATAGAACTGAAGCAAAAATTTAAAGAATAGTCAGCTGAATAGTACCATCAATATTGATCAGTGTGTCCAGAATGTTAATCTGTGTAGCATACACTGGCACCTTGGTTCACGAACTCAATTCTCTCCAAGATTCTGGTCACAAACCAAACTGGATAAGACCAGAATCAAATTTCCCCATAAGGTCAACATTAAACCTAACCATTGAATTTGATTCAGTTCTCCTCCAATTTGGTTTGCAAAATGAATCTGGAAAGATTTGTGAACTGAGGTAGCTGTATATGCATGATTTGCCTTTTAAAGTGTTCAATAAGAACTAACTTTGATTCTAAGTCAATAAATAGTGATTTGCTTCAAATAGCATACTATATTGGCACAACTAGAAACCAAATGAAGCACTTTCAGAGAAAAATCAATTACTAAAAAATATCCTGAAACTATGAAAAAAGATTTCCTGAAAATGTATAAATCACAATCAGTGATTCTCTGGTGTCATACACATAAGGCAAGTGGTCTAAAACTGAGCTATATTCCCAACCCCAGTGTGTGCTTTTTAACCTGTGTTAGAAAGTAGTCTCATTCAGAATGCTATGAAAATGTTATAATTCCTATTTCTGCATGGAGAGAAAAAGGTTGGGAAGAGCTATGACAATAGAGTGGGGAGTGCGAATATATTATCTCAGGGACTGAGAACAATATTTGAGTTCTCCAGATAGGAGATAGGGGAAAAATAATCTAGTGTTGCCTTCTGTGATTTTAATATTTACCAAATGTTTGAGTTTACCATTTTGTTTTGGTATTAAACATTGCAGTGGGAGAGATTTCTAGAATGAGAGAGGATTCTTATTTCTCTACTTAGGGAGACCGTGTGACCTTTCAGAGGAGAAAATGCTACACGTTAAATAATACATAAAGTACTCTGGCAACCTTGGTTAGACATTTTAACACTTAATCAATCTACTTTCTTGTATTTTAGGTCGAAAAACTGATAGAAGGAAAACTAAGAAATAAGCCAGGCTCAGATGTATATACCTATAATCCCAGTGGCTTGGGAGCCTGAGAAAGGAGGATGGCAAATTCAAGCTGACTCTCCAAAATATAAAGGGCTGGGGATGTAGCTCAGTGTGAAGGCCCTGGGTTTAATTCCCAGTATTATAAACAAACAGACAAACAAACAAAACCTAGGAAATAGTTTCTATAGATGAGTTCTATCTAAAGTATTCCCCTAAAGCCTCCTGTGTTCGGAAGGTGACTGGAGCATGGGGGCACTAATGCCACAGTGGATGAATGCATTGATGGGTTCCTAGCTGACTGTGGGCCTGGCTGAAAGTGGGTCCCGAGAGGCATGACCTGGAAGAGGACGTGTTCTTTTCTCTGGCTCATCATTTCTCTCTCTGCTTCCTGGCTGCCGTGAGGCGAGCACCTTTTCCTTCACCATAGCTCTCTGCCACGCTCTTTCTGCCTTGCAGGTAGCCTACCATGGACTGAAATCATGAGCCCAAATCAAACCTTTCTCCTTTAAATTATGGGTGCCAGGTATTTGTCCCAGTGAAGGAAAGATTACTAAGACATTAGTACTATTTACAATAGATAGTACCTGCTTGCAAGGAATTTACTTCGCCACACATCACACTGTATTGACATACGTTCTAACTGTTCAGAGAGCTGAGCTGTGTTTCGACTTAGGGCTTCATTTTCTAAAATAAGTTGATTCTTCTCACGGGCTAGACGTTCAAAGTGATACTGAAGATCATCCCCAACAGAAGCCACCAGCAACTTTTTTAACTCGCGATTTACCTAGAAGAGAAGACCATAACTAACAGAAGCTCAAAGTAATGTCACTGACTTTAATGGAAGAAAATTAATGAAAGGGAAACTATGTTTTTGTGTAACTTGGATCTCCATTATATAAAGTGAGTATAAAAATGTAATATTAAATATTTAAATTATATAACACATATAATCTATATCTATAGACAATGTGGTTATAAACTAAGTCTTTGTAGTAATGAAGTACAAATCACTATCATGAAAATAAACAACTTCCATTCAACACATAAAGGGAAAAGAATCAGAAAGCAAAACCTGTACATTTTGCTAAAAAAAGAGAGAATGTTTTATACGGTTTTTCTTTTAACATTTTTAAATTAATCTCTTTGTGTCCTAGGAGTTTTACCTTTAGGAATTTAAGAAAAGGAAGTAATCCAAGGTATCTGTAAATAATTCTTTGCACTGTTATTGAAAAGAGTAAGAAAATTAAAGCAAATGTCAATGATATTGCTGTAGACACTGTATCACTAGTGCTACCAATAATTATAGAAGAACATTATAATGTAGGAAAACGTTAACAACTGAAAAATGTAGATTATAAGATGTAATAAATTCCATACATAGAATACACTGTTATACCTGGATGGTATAATTATAGACAGTACCATTTTCAACAGTATTTTTTATATTTTCTAAAATGTTTAGGAATACATATGTATTACATATGTATTAAAAAATTAGTTAAAGATATACAAAATTATATTATTAAATACATTAAAAATATATATGGACAAGAATCACTAACCACAATGTTACAAAAATGATACAAAATCCACCATCTAGCAAAAAAAATATATAGTCTAACAGATAAACAAGGGAGGGTTGAGTCAATTTTACTGAGACATAAAGATTAAAGCAACACAATCAAGCACTGTAGGTTTTGTTTTCATTTATAATGAAGACACAATAACTTATTCTACCATTATTTTTATTCCATGTACTGTATAATGTATACATGGGCAAAGATACTTGGAATTTGTGAACTCTTGAAATAAGGACTACTAAATTCATCAGCTTTAATGCCTGACTTAGTATATGTTCGGGTTGGCAGTTTATAATGATAATCTACTTGTACAACTTATAGGTGGTCTTGTCTAAAGCATCTCACACCTCCTCCATCTTTGACCATATTTAAGTATATGTTCTCAAAATAATTGGGAAGAGCAGTGAGAGAGGCATAAGAAATTTAAGAAGCATTTTAGACAAACAACAGCCTAACTTAAGTGACATTTAAATGAAGAAATGCAGTTTTCTAATGTGCAACCTTAGAAGGCTGAGGTGTAAGAGTACTCATTAAAGCCAATTAGACAATTCTTACCTCTGTCTGTACTCGGAGCTGGTTTGAAAGACCTTCTTTGTCCTGTAGTAACCTCCTTTCAGAGTTCTTGAGCTTTTCCAATGTGTTCTTTACCTCTGAGAGTTCCTTTCTAGGCTCTATAACTCCCTCTGAATGACCAAGGAATTCTCCTTTATGATATCCCAGAGACTTAATTTTTGCATTTTTGTTAGGGATATCGTGGGTTATAGCAGCTTTAGGAACAAATATTCGTACAGCTTCAACTTCCACTGCTTTTTCAGTGAGAATCTTCCCTAGTTGAAGAACTCCTGGGCTCTCTGAGGGAACTGCTTTCTTTCGTGGACTCTGAAGGATACGGTGTTTTATGGGTTGGACTCCAGAGGTGACTTCAACAGACTTAGGTGGCTCCTCAGTTTCCATTCCATCTCCTGCTCCTCGGACTGGGGTTGAAGTAAGGGTGACTAACAAATGGAAAACAAAACATGAACTACTTACTAAAAAGTAATGTTAAGAAAATGCCAAGACTACTTTGCCAAGTGTTGAGAATTACTGGCACTGGAAAAAATTTATAGTAAACAATAATTTTCAAAACAATCATGTGTCAACAAAAGATGAATTAATACTCACAAGCTCAAACTTTAAGTTAATGGCTTATGTCTTGGTAGAAAATGCAAGACAATAGGAATCACAGTATTAGGTTCTGACTTCTATTTATCAATATGACCCTAGGTAAACAATTTTTTTTGTAGTGTTGAAGATCTAGGAAAATAATTTAATCCTCCATTAATCTTTATGTCGTGATATGTAAAACGGAGACAGTAAGACCAATGATAAGGTTAAATATGTGACATATGGCAGACATTCAATAATGCCAATTAAATATAAAAATAGCAGTAGATATGAGACATGATCAAAAATACAGAGAATATTTACATTTAAAAAAATTATTATAGTAAAAGATACACTGTCATTGATTCTCCTCAAAATACTCCTCTCTTTGCAGACACTTATCCCATTGTTCTTGCCACTTTGGGAAGCAGTTCTAGAAGACCTCTTTTGTAAGTGTCTTTAGGTGCACTGTGATAACTACCCTGACATTCTAAAGTGATTCAAAAACATTTACCTTTCATTGTCATTTTGACTTTGGCGAAGAGCTAGAAGTTACATAGTACTAGAGCACGTGAATCAAGTGGATAACGACACACTGTCATGCCTTTACAAGCCTGCCATTCTGTTGGATGGGACTTGCATTCACCATATTTTTGATCATACTTTATAAAGACACTGAAGCAGAGGCTCCGCTGGCACTTTGTTTCTTGGATTCTGACTCTAGAAATGGAATTCTCCAGCCAAAGCACTGTAGAAATCGTAAGCTTGGTTGAAGTAATGTTAAGAAAGTTGTTTTACTACAAAGAATATATCTAACAAGAATTCCTTCCTGAGGTTTGTTAGGCTTCTACTTTTCACTGAACTTATTTTTCTTCATATTTTAAATTTTATTACACAAATACAAAAATTACAGAATAGAATAGGGCATGTTCACATATAATTACATACCCTCTGGTTTTTATTATTATAATTTTCAAAGACAATATTATTAAAATACATTAATAAGACATTTTACCTGTATTCTCATCACTCAGTTCTCATTACTTCAACTGTCCTCAATATTTTAAGTACTTGTAATCATAATAAATTTTTAAACTCAATGTACTGTGTTTTGCAATAATTTCATATTTTTATTTTATGACTGTCATTTCTTGCTTTTGGTCAATATTGCATAACATATTGTTTTGTTGGATATTTAGACCATTTCCAATTCTCTCCACAATAATACTGTTTATTGAATACTTCTACACCTACAGATTTTTCTCAACTTCTCAATTTTTTTTTTTTTTTTTTTTGAGATATGGTCTTGCTATGTTCCCAACAGCTAACCACAAACTTCTGGACTAAGGGATACTCCCATTTCACCCTCCCATGTAGCTGTGTCTATGGGCTTATGCTACTATGCCTGACTTTAAATATTTGTTTCATATAAAAAAAAAATTCCAAGGCACAGAATTAGAGGGTATGGTAAAGATCTGTACTGTCAAATTGCCTTCCAAAATCATTCTATAATATATCAGTAGATCTATTCCTTATGTCCTTATGTAGTTTTATTTTTTTTTTTTGCATGTTCAATTCCTATGATTTCATACAATAACTAACAGTAAATTAGAATACATCTAAAATGTTTAGAACAGTGTTTGGCACAGTAAACACTCACTATAATGTTAGCACCTATTGTCTTTATTATTACTAGTCTTTCAAAAATTTCCTAGCAAACTCTAGATGCTGATAAAAGGGTAAAAGTGTACTTAACGTTATAAAATATAATTCTGACTTTTACTCCTTTACACAAATCTTAAAATTATATCACTAGATCATAAGGTTATGTTTTCATTTAATAAATTGTTTTGTTCAAAATTTCCCTATGTACATAGCAATGTACTGGGAATACTGAATTATATTGGGGGGAAGCTATTGGGGGTGGAATTAACATGCTTTATTTAACAAGATATTTTAATATTATAATAAAAGTATCACTTCCACATGAAATGTAAACTAAAATACATTTGGGGCTGACTGACTCTACTTTCAAAAAGATAAACAAAGATAAGCAAAGGAACACAGTATTTCAGAATGTCAGATAAAGGATTTGGTATATTAATTACAACATGCACTAAACCATTTTAAAAAGAATTCATGTTCTTAAAATTTGGTTTTAAGTCTGTCTAACTTTATGTAGTATAGATTTCATCTTGTTAATAAGACATTATGGCTTATAAGAAATAATCATGTATTAACAATAGATTAATAAAAATATTAAACCGTAATAAAAAAATCACTACAGCCATGAAAACCAGGCCACGTGAGTCTGAGGAAATAAGAAAAGGGTGTGTTATTCCATCATGATTAAGCAGGATTTCCAAGTAAGTCATCACAATTCTGAGTTGAAATTTTAAATATCACAAAATGGTTAATGTTAACTTTAAAAGGCAAAGACATTTTAATGGGAATTTAACAGAAATCTCTTTATAAACAAAATATGTGGCAAAAATTTCAACCAACAAGTTCAACCAACATGTTTTAATCCAAATTTACTATTTATTTTATTTACACTGTTCTACTTACTCAAGCGTTCATGAAAATCTAAGTATATCATATATTATATGGCAGCTCCTGCTCAGTAACAACTATGATTCTAGCTCATGTGCACAGGTAAGCAGGCAGTGAGAGCCAAGGCTGTACATTTTCTCTCCTAGTAGCTCACATTTCCTAATTCTATTTTTCCCTGTGACACACATAGAAACCTTTATTACTCAGGTACTAGACACAACCTGGGGCACACTCATGAGCAATGACTTTCTCTCAAGTGGGAAGACAAAAATCTAGGGTACCAGTTCCATAATTATGGGTAATGTTTGAGCAAAGCAAAACGCCAATACTTACTCTTCTCCACACTTTAAATGGAATCACTACAACAATACTTATATTACTCATTAACATTACTTCTACTTGTGATCACTTCTTTTTTTTTTTTTTTCTATCTTTCTGAGACAGAGTCTCACTATGCAGTTCAGGCTGGCCTTGAACTCACTTTGTAGCCCAGGCTGGCCTCTAACTCACCATGATCCTCCTGTCTCAGCCTCCCAAGTGCTGCGATTACAGGCGTGCGCCACCATGCTCAGTGTGATCACTTCTCAATGGAGTAAAACATATCTAATGTTTATGAGTCATTCTTTTTTCTTTTCCTTGTGGTATAGGTGATTGAACCCAGGACTCGGGCACTGAGCTACATCCTCAGCCCTTTCTTATGTTTTATTTAGAGACAAGGTCTCGTGAAGTAATGAGGTTTCCCAGGCAGGATTTGAGCTTGTGATTCTTGTGCCTCAGTTTACCAGGCCTGTGCTACTACGGTTGGTTTATGGCTCATTCTTACTGCATTCCCTGGAGATAGATGAATGTAAGGAATAACAAATAAGGTCACTAGTCTAACATTCCAGAATAAGGGCTGGCAAACTATTTCTGTATAGGGTCAGATAGTAAGTATTGTAGGCTTTGTGGATCAAGGTGAAAAGTCAAGTATTCTATTTAGGTACTTAAGTAAGAAGTAAAAAAACCGTATTTTTATTGATGACATTAAAACGATAATACTGAGTAAAGTTTTTAGCAATATAGATCTAATGAGTAGGACAGAATTCTATTTCACTGTATTTGGGATAACACTTGATGTGTATGGGATCCAATGTTACTGTTCCCTATCATCAAACTGACTGAAGACATTTTCAGGAGATGTGAGGGCCACACCTTGCCAATTTTTGTTCTAGAATACAGAGGCAAATGAGTATGCTTTCACAGTCTGTCACTGAGCAAATATTTTTCCTTCATTGGTAACAATGTAAGCTTATAGAGATGCGTTCTCTCCACCAGCAAGACGGGGTAGAGGAAAGACCATCAGACGCTCAGTTAAAATAATGTAAGCTGCTATTGCCATGCATTGTGAACCTTGGACAAATCACTTTGTCTTCCTCTAGTCCCTTGGAGCTTTCCGAATAAAGCAAATACTATGATATTTTAAAATAACTTCCCTCTCTTGCAGACCACACTACTGGCAGCTCCTCAGGGTGACGACACTTCCAACCCTTTGCATCATCAGCTAAGGAAATGTGCTTGGTAGAGAAAAGAAAGGATTAACCTTTATGAAGTTCATCAATCAGTGAATACATACCCAGAAGATTTCACTGAAACATCCAATAACTATGTCTCTTAAAAACTATTCATTTTCTCCCTCTACACTAAATCATTAATTCCTAACTCAGTTATATCGTCTGACACACTTTTCAGAATATATGCAAATTCAGCAATAATATAGATGTTATTTGGTAATTTTAAATCAGTAATTTTTTAAAAGTCATCAATATAACCTAATGAACCTTCGTTATTTTTAAATTAGAAAAATGCTATAGACAATGGACTTATGAGTTAATTCAACATTTTGTAAAGTAGTATCCAGACACGCTTCTTGGTACATACTCTGTCAAACAAGTGTAAGCAATTCTGCATACTGCATCTCCTTGCAGTTTCACAGTGCATATCAGCATGGCTGATCTGGCTAAAAGATCCAAACAGTAGCTATGCCACTATTTCAACATTAGATTGACTTGAAATTTCTTCAGCCAGATTAATTAGTCTGCCGCCCTTAATTCAGTCTCAGGCAAAGTCTCTAAACTAGAGCAAAATGCAGACAGATTTTGTGCCAAAGCATAACATACATGTTCAGGAGTCCAACAGTCAATGCAGTCCTTGTTCCTAACTGATATCTCCTGCGTATTATCTTTTTTTTTTTTTTTTTTGGTTTTTCTCCGGTACCGGGAACTGAACTCACGACCTTGCGCTTGCCAGGCAGGCGCTTTGCCGCTGAGCTAAATCCCCAGCCCCTACTGCTTCTTATCTTTACCAGAAGCTTTTCTATCAGCTTTCCGGTCGTCTGAGCTCTGACTAGAATCTCCCATCAAGTTCAGCTCAAAGCATTCCAGGGCCTGCTTATTCACCCAGCATCTCCAAACCCTTCCAAACTCTTCCCACAAGCCAGTTCCAAAGGCTCCTGAACCACATGGCCAGATAATGCCACAGAAACAACCCTACTTCTCTGGTACCAAAATCTGTCTTAGTTACTTTCTCATTGCTGAGACAATAATACCTGACACCCACAAGTTAAAGGAGGAAGGTTTATTTTGGCTCACAGTTTATGGAGGTTGCAGTCCATAGTGAACTGGTTCCAAAGCAGGGTAGGATGGCAGAGGGACATTTCAGAGGAGAAATAGTCTATAGTGTGGCAAGCAGAAGGCAGCTAGTAGCAGCAGCAGCAGCCTTCTTTCTTTCTGTCTCTTTATACAGTGATATTTTGGTTCATGAACTCAATTCTCTCCACAATTCTGGTCACAAACCAAACTGGATGAGAACTTAATCAAATTTCCTCATAAGGTCAATATTGAACCTAACCACTAAATTTAATTCGGTTCTTGTCCAACTTGATTTGTGACCAGAACTGTGTAAAGAATCAAGTTTGTCAACCAAGCTACCACTGTATTCCATCCAGGCTATAAGCCTATTGATTGCTATCACCCATGCCCAAGGGAAGGCTTTCATTATCCACACTCTTAATCCACTTTCACACACCCCAATCCAGCCACCTTTGAAACTCCCCACCTATGAACACACAAGGGTGGGGGACATCTACGTACAAGCCATAACACCAGACAATACAAGTAACTTTTATTCACTAACAATAGTTAACATTGTGGTAAGTAAGACCAGAATAATTGGGTTATCTTCCTTGTTAGGGATAATTAAGATCAAATGAAGTAATGTACAGGAAAGTGCTTTATAACTCTGGCACTTATTAGAACAATAACAAATAATTTTAATCTCAGAGACTTTACAATACTAAATCTTCAATCACTAATTATACTATATTTAGATTTTGCTTTCTGCCAAGCATCAAGCTACTTGCTTTCACATTAGTTACCATTTACTTGTTCTTATTGCCCACTCACCCTTAGTTTATTGCTTTCACTGGACTCTGATTTGACACTATAAAACCTTTCTAATAGCTTAATACTGCTACACAATTGTATCAAATTCAATTAAGTGTTTATTAACATGATCTTGCTTTCTTATTTTCTAAATATTTTTCAACCTCTTTTTTTTTGAAAGATCCACAGGCTTTTATTGTCAGGATAGCATCTTTTTTTTTATTTTAAAAATAAAAGGAGGAAAATATTAACAGACAGACAACCTTTTAAAAAAGTTTGCCACCTGAGGTCTGCTTACTGCAAAGTTCACTGCTGGAAAATAGTTTCCTATCTCTCACTGAAGGGTCCAGCATGCAGAACTCATTCTACTCAAGGCATAAAGTAGGCCAGGAGGAGTTCACTTTGAGACAAGTTAAGACTTGAAGATGATACAAGGGTCTGAATTATAGAGAAGAGATCTAGGCTATTGCTAGATTTGGAAGTTGCTCCCATAGTTAATCAATTATTGAAGCTCTGTGTGATGGTAAATCTTGAATGTCAACTTGAATGATTAGCTTGAGAGATGCCCAGGAGGATAATAAAGCACACTTCTGGGTGTCTGAGTGGGTCAATGGGGGCATAATCATGGGGACCATATCTCGCTCTTTTTGTGTCTCCTATGCTTCCTGGTAGTCATGAAGTGAGCAGCTTTCTTCCATCACACTTTCTAACATGATGTTTTTATGTTGGAGTCAGCCAACCATGGACTGAAACCTCTAAAATCATGAGATAAAATAAACTTCTTTAAATTGTCTATGTCAGGTATTTTGTCCCAGTAAAGAAAGCTGACTAGTACAGTAGTACCTCAGTTTGCAAACTTGCTTTATGATTTTGGGGAAAATGGCTACATTTGTGTTTGTGTAAGGAAGATGGCTGTGACAGTGTTTATCAATTGATGGGAAATTTACAAATGGAAGCAAACTTTTGCCAAATGCTTTTTGTTTGTGAACTGAATGTTTGCCAACAGGTATTTGTGAACAGAAGTATTACTGTATAATATGAAAGCAGAAGAGAAAGAGGCTGAAAAACATTGATATTTAAAAGACAAAACAGAAGAAGCTGATGAAGAAAGAAGATATAGTGGGGCTGAGAATGTAGCTCAGTGCTAACACAAGTGCACAGGATGTACATGGCCTGGGGTTCAATATCCACCACTATAAAAAAAAAAACAAACCAAAAAGATATAGTTAGAGCAGCACTATCCAAAATAATTTTTCTGCGCCTGCCTGGCAAGTGCAAGGTCGTGAGTTCGGTTCCCGGTACTGGAGAAAAACCAAAAAAAAAAAAACAAAAAGAAAAAAAAAAAAAAAACAAAATAATTTTTCTGAAATTATTTTGTGTCATCAGCCACATTTGGTTACTTGAGACTGAGAATTGAATTTCTAATTTAAAAAATGTTAATTTAAATAGCAAATAGCCAGATGTGATTATTGCACTGTACAATGAAGAGGTACAGAGTAGAGAGAGAAGAAAAGTAACGCTGCTGGGTGTGGTGGCGCATGCCTGTAATCCCAGCGCTCTGGAGGCTGAGGCAGGAGGATCCTTTAGAGTTCGAGACCAGCCTGGGCTACAAAGTGAGCTCAAGGCCATCCTGAACTGCATAGCAAGACCCTGTCTCAAAAAGACAAAAACAAAACAAAACAAAAACCAATAAAAGTAATGTCATGGATATCATGAAAAGAAAGTATTTCAAAAGATAGGGAATGACTAATAACATTAAATATTACAGAGAAGAGAAGCAAGCAGTACTAAAAAAAGTGAGTACTTATATAGTTAATTGCTAAAGGTTAAATTGTATCCCCCAAATATTCTTATGTTGAAGTCTATTATAACCTCCATTCATACAGAGTAGAGTGATTCTATTATCTAATATAACTGCTGTCCTTATAAAGTGGAGAAGACAATACAGAGACAGGCACATAGTAAGATGCCATGTGAACAAGAGGATAGAGATCAGAGTGGTACACCTATTAGTCAAAGAGCACCAAAGACTGCTAGCAAACCAGAAGTTAGAAGAGTGGCTAAATCTTTTCCTAATCCTTTCAGAGACAGTATGGCCTTCCTCTCACTAACACTGATATTGGACTTCTAACTTTCAGAAACATGGGGCAATAAATTTTTGTTGTTTAAGCCACACAGTTTGTAGCACATTGTTAAAGCAGCCCTAGCAAACTGACAACAAAAGACACGTCTTTGATACTTACTAGTTATTTATCTATCCATCTATCTATTTATCTATTTATTTATTGTCTTTTTGAGACAGGGTCTCACCTATCTATTTATTTACTGTCTTTTTGAGACAGGGTCTCACTGTGGAGTTTAGGCTGGCCTTCAACTCACTTATATAGCCCAGGCTGGCCCTAAACTTGCAATGATCCTCCTGCCTCAGCCCCCAGAGTGCTGGGATTACAGGTGTGTACCACTGCTGCTCCCCCATCTATTTAAATCTTTAAAAAGTTTATTCTATATTTAATTTTCTAATCTTCCAGTAGACAGGAAATATAGGTATAAAAATATTCTTACACCAAATGCTTAAAAATGAGTACTTATCTAATAAAAACCATGTAAAGATGATAACATTGAATTGTATGTCTGAGTTACTAAAACAAACACTGTACTACAGAAAAAACATGAAGCAGTCTGAACACAAATGACTTCCAAAAAATCAATGAGATTTAGTTAGGCTCAAATATTCCTTCTTGATATCATCATAAATCTCATGCTTTAAAAACAATTACCATCAAAATAAGAACACTTACCTTTGGTTTCTAAACTTGTAAGAGTAGTCATTTTTTTCTTAATAAAAATGTACACCAAGACTTCCAAAGAAAAACCTAGAAATGTATAATGAAAGAATTAACACAGTATCATATAAGCACCTTCAATGAACGCCTCTATTTCAAAAATATTATTATATTTTATATTTCCTCCTTTAGTATGTATGCATTTAGAAAGGGAAGTGTCCTTTATATTCTCTTCTCACAGGTGGTGCTCTTAACTCTACCAAGTGTCTCAAAAAATTAGACATAAAAAATTAGACAGGATTTACTTTTAAATATTCTGTTTCACTACCCTTACCATTACATGCTAAGTTGTCAGAGGTGTACCTTAAATTTTAGTTCAGAAATAATACTGAAGTTACTGTAGGTGCTTACCTATCATTGCTCTGACAAGAAGAAATTAAAAGTAATAACTCTTAGGAAACACTGACACAATTTGCTCTCTGTATTTATATCAGAGAAGAGCTCCTGTTTAAATGTTTACCAAGAGACAAAAATGCTACTGGAGACAAATTAATTTGTACTTTATTTTGATGATGAAATTAAAATGGTAAATGAGGAGTAAAGAGATTGAAGGAGGGGTTAAAGAGGGGAAAAGGAGGTAAAAAAAATTAACACGTGTTATGTACATGTGCCAACTCTCCACGACGAATGTAACCACTGTGTATTGCAAACATGTACTAATAAAAATTTTAAAAACTAAAATGGTGTAGCTCCTAAGAGTGAAAAGTGTAACACACATTGAACATACGCTTTCAGAAATGTATGCACGATCTTACAGGGCTGACTCAAGATTTCCGGAGGACTAGGGAGGAAGGCGATACTGTACTACGATGGATTGTCCACTTCAGGAGAACTGGCTTCACCACGAAACAGTGATCGCTCTGGGTCTCTACACGGTTCAGCACTGAGTCCCGATGATTCACTTCCCTAAGGGACACAAATCCTGCATCACCTGTGGTTTCTAGCTTTGAAAACAGGCGTCCTCTCCAAAGACACGCCTACCGGGTTGGAGGATGCTGGCGCCACGTCCGAGCACAGTGAAGTCCGCCCCAAATTTCCGAGTAAAGGGGAGAGATAGGGTGGGTTTAGCGTGTGACAGCCACAGGCAGACAGCGACCAGCCGTCAACCTTCGCCGTCCTGGGAAGCGAGATCTTAAGTTCTGTCTGTGTCTGAGGAAGCTTTCCCCGAATAATCTTTCCCTAAACCCAAAGATAATGGCCAAAGAGCTCCAGCCCAGACCTTCGTCCACTCCTTCCCAACACCACCACCCCTAAGTTTCAAAAACCTGTTCAAGATTTACCTGTAAGATTCTTAACCTCCCTGTTTCCGTAGGCTTCCTTCACAGCCTCTGCGACTCGTCGTCACTGGGTTGACTCCGCCTAGTTCTCCACTATCCCGACGCACCCAGGGTTTCCGGACACGAGCAGCTCTCTCTCTCTCTCTATGGTCACTTCCGGTTTCTCAGGGGTTCGTTTCCGGAACGCTGTTCCCAAACCAGAAGACACACGTTCTGTAGTGCGTTTAATCTCGAATAACACAGAACACACGGTGTAGTGAGTGGACAAGTACCTATTTACACATTTAAAAACCAGCAACACTGGGAGGCTTCCAGCCTATTCGCTTACATTTCCGGGTCACCTGTCAACCGAGCGGAAGTGGAGAGGATGGTACGGGAAGGCGGTGTCCTGTAGCCCCAGGCGACAGCGAGACGAGGCGTGTCTGCAGTTTGAATGGGCGGATCTGAAGTGACTCTCAACCACTAGAGAGCAAGGGGTGGTGAGACTGCGTGGCCCGCAGTGTGCAGCAGCCGGCGGAGCTCGGTTGCCATAGTAACCGAAGGAAGGTGTTGGCGGCGTGGTCCTGGTACTTCGGTCCCAGTGTCTAGATCGTGAAACCATGGTGAGTGCTGGTGGGGAGGCCGGCAGGGCGCTCTGGGGCCCAGGTTACGCCGTGTTCTCGGTCTCGGGGCTGTGGGCACCCGGAGGCTCCAGGGTCCTTCTGCCAGTCATCCTCCCCGCTGTGATCTTGCTCTCTCTGGCTCTGACGGCACCCGAGAGTCCACTTTGGTGTTACTCAGCCTCGAGCGCAGTGTAACAGAAAGTAAAGGGGTAAGACTTCGAGCCTGAGAACCTAAAACGACACATTATTTTGAATAAGCCTAATGTTTGCATTGTTCATATTTTGAATTTTTTTGGTGATTAAGACCGAATGGCAGTGTGTGTATACGACTGTCTCCGCACTAGATCTTGGGATCTTTGCTCCCCTCAGTGTGGAGGGTTCTGTTACCCCGTATAGGGACTATTTGTCAACAGAGGCATATTGGCTCAACTCACTTCTAGTTACCTCCCTACCTTCTAGGTCCATGCTCTACACTCCTTACCCCGACCTCAGTACTAAGGATAGAATTTAGGGGCGCTTTATCACTGAAGTACTTCTCCAGGCCTCTTTGTTTTATGTTTTGATACAGGGTCTACCGAAGTTGCTCTGGTGGGACTTAAACTTGGAATGCTCTTGCCTCACCCTCAGAGTAGCAGCCAGTGCCTGCTTTTTAACAGGAATGTCTCAGTATTACAGAGCTTCTAGAATTCACTTGCTGGAGCAATCATGGCCAGAAATTCTGAAGGAATGGAAGTGGGGCTCTTTGTTTATATTTTTAATAAGTCTTTTAAGGGATTTTAATTCACTCACTGAGAACACCAAGGTTCTAAATTCGTAGAATCACGTCATCTTTTCAACGCTAAGGATAATAGACTGGAGGATAGCAAGATCAGTTTTCTCAGATGGGTAGAGCTATTAATTTAACAGTAGAGCTTCTACCCACCACCCTTTCATTCGCGTTACTGCTTGATAATTTTTTGGCGTTGTTGTTGTTACCTTAGTGTGCCCCTATCCATTTCCTGTAGCGGTCTTTTCAAACCTCACTATACAAACCCTATCCCTTCCCCTGTTCTTTCTCTTTTTCCAAGCAGATGACAGAGTCTAATAGGCAGTTTCTTCAGCTTCATGTCCCAGTTACACAATGATCAATATTTTTACATTCTTTAGTCTCATGTATCTAATTCAGGGAGTTGTTGAAAGATACTCCATCCATCTTTACTCTTGATCTCATTTTTTTCTTTCCTGTGCTTTCAGCCTTTTCCTCTCTGTTTCCTCAGTGCTCAAGCCATACATTTTATGAAAATTAAATAGAACAAAAGCATGTCATCATATTGTATTTATTCAGTTTTTGCCCCATACTCCAAACTTTCAGTAAACTGCTTGAAATCATATTTTTTTTACATGTATTAACTTCTACTACTCCTTTTTTTTAATCTTCAAATGTCTGTTATCTGGCTTTCTCTCAGTGGTACAGTACTTGCCTAGCACGTGAGGCACCCTGGGTTCAATCCCCAATACTGAAGACAACAAAACAACAAAAAGCTAATATCTTCAGTGAAGCTGCTTGTAAATTTCTGAGGGCTTTCTAAGTGCCTGAGGTTTATGGTCATACATTTCTTTTTTCGCTGGCTTTGCCTGAGTTTTAAGTGGCCATCGAACTCCAGGGACTTATCTCATTGATGACTTTATTTTATTTAATTATAGTTTTTAGCACATGTTAATTGTACAAGATAATGGGTCTCACTGTGATATTATCATATATGCATATAGTGTGCTTTGATCCCCGCTCCTCCCTATTACCTTCTTTTAGCTATCTTCTCTCCTTCCCTTCTTCACTTCTTCTTTGCTAAGTCTCCTTTCTACTTTCATGTGTCTCTTCTTTTATAATCCTACCCCTTTCTCAAAGAGGACTGTGCACTTTTTTTGGTCACCACTTCATATAGCAGACATCTTTCATACCATACTTGCTTCATTCAGTTGAAATTATTTGCTTATAGATTGTTAGCCTTACTAAATTGTGAACTTTAGAGGAATGTTTGTTGTGTACACTGCTACTGCTTAGATCATGTTAGGAATTTAACTATTTGCTGAATGAGTAGAAAAATAAGAAAAAAATGTGGTAAATGGCCCGAGAGAATTCAAGATATCTGAGGAGACTGGAAGGCAGAGTGCTCACGTATTAATCAGAGTCATAAAAAAGTCATCATAAAGTAAATGGGATAGAATTGCAATAGTTAGAAATTACTGACCTGTGCAATGGTGTAAGGAGGTGAATTCATATTTGATAAATGCTGATTGTGTGTGTGTGTTGTGTGTATGTGTATCTGCCATATAATTGCCACTCAGACTTCCCAGCAGTGCTAAATACAGTGAACTCCTGCCCTGTCCCCTTTACTTTTTTTTTAATGTTCCGTTCCTACCCCCTTTTAGCACTTTGTCTGGCTAGTATTTCTGTTGGTGACTCTTTCAAATTGGACAGTCCTTGAAGGTTCTTCTGAGTGAGGGGCTTTTGTATCAAGACCTTAGTGATAGAAAGTACAAAGATCTGAGAGACTGTTTCAGGCAGGATGATCAACATCAAAAGCCCTGAGACAGAAAAGAGCTTGGCCTGCTTCAGAAATTCATTGTCCAATGTAGGAAAGGAGAGAATCTGAATGGCGTGGTGGTAAGGGGTGTCTTTAGTGGGGAAGCTGTGGTTTGGAAAGGCAGCAGAGGCCAGACCACACGTACATACATATATAGCAGTGTTTCTCAGTCTGGATTGTGACCCATTACTGTGCTCTGTCATGAAATCAGTTTGTGGTATGTAGCTAGCATCAGAAAAGAAGACATAAAACAGAAAGTTAGTATATTTTATTAACAATAGTGAGGATAAAGTTTTGTTTTAAATTCCATTTATGAAATTCAAGACACTGTAATTTTTTTTAACAAAGAAAAGCGATTTATTTAACTTACAATTTTGGAGGCTGAAAGTCTGAACAGCATAGTGCTGGCTCTGGCAGTGGACCATTGGCAGACGTTAGGAATGAGAGCTAATGTGTAAGAAAGTGATCACTTCAAGCTAGGAAGACAGTCTGGGATCCCAGTCTCACACTCCTAAACCCCACCTCTTAAAGATTCCACACAATCACTTAAAATTTTTTTATTTTTATTGATGGGTATAAAAGGATAAACTTTTTTTCCTTTTTGTGGTATTTGGGCCCAGGGACCTCTATGACTTAGCTGCATCCCCAGTTTTTATTTTTATTTTGAGACAAAGTCTTGTTAAGTTGCCATGGTCATCTTGAATTTGTGATCCTCTTGCCTTAACCTTACAAAGTGCTAAAATTACAGGAATCTGCCTCCATACCCATTAAGGATAAACTCCTTTATAATATTTTGTTTTAAAAAGAGAGCCTAAGGGTACCCTGCTCACTCTGTGTTGCCCAGGCAATGTGTCCCTGAGTTAGGCAACCAGAAGTCACTGCAGTCATGTTCCATAAGGTCCCAGCTACTGCTCAGACAGACCTTGTTGTCAGCCATGTGGTGCTGGTTTTCTAGGCATGAACAATGTAAGAATTGTAGGACCAGAGAAACTTCCACTCTGATTTCATAAGATGGCCTAAGAGTTTAGGCAGTGTGCCCCTAAGAGTACAGTGCCAGAAGCTGTGAGAGTGAAGCCTAAAGTGCAGTGGAGATCCTGGAAAGTTCAAGATAACCAAAAACACAGCATCTGCTGGATAAAACCATAGGCAGCAAGTGGAGCTGGAGCCAGTCAAAGAAAAACTGGGCTACAACTGTGAACTCTGTAGTGATGGGGCTGCTCAGTCCATTTGGAGCTCACATCTCACCAGAACTTTCCCTAGATGCTGAACACGAAGCCACAAGATTTAGTGTTTGCCCTGCTGGGTTTTTGTCTTGCTTTGATTCAATTCCATTATATTCCCCCAGTCTTTCCTTTTGGAATGTGAATGTTTACCCTGTGCTATCATATGTTGGAAGTTGTTAACTTTCTTTGTGAGTTTTACAGGGTCTCACAGCTAAGAATTTGCCTTGAGTAACAGAAGAGTGTTTGAAATTGCAATTTTTAGCAGTGCTGGAAGTGTTAAGATTTTGGTGACTCTCATAAATAGACTAAATACATTTTACATGATGAGATGGACATGAACCATTTGGGGGCCAGAGGTAAAATATTATAGTTTAAATTTAAAATGCCACTCCTAAGTCTCATGTGTTCTGAGATGGGGCTTGTAAAAGGGGCTGTACTCATCAATGGATTGCTGTTAGGAAGTGGGGTCTGGTCATATGAGGTGGATCACTGGGGACATGACCTGGAATAGTGTATTCTTTTCCTGGCTCCTCTTTTCTTTGTCTCTACTGTCTGGCTGCCACGTGTTGAGCAGCTTTCACCTGCCATGCCCTTCCACTGTGCTATTTCTGCCTTGGAGGCAGCGAGGCATGGACTGAAATTATGAGCAAAAGTAAACATTTTCATCTTTTAAGTTGTCAGTGTGAAATATTTTGTCCCAGTGACAAAAAGGTGACTGATAAAATTACTTAGTCACTTTGTAGGTATGAACATACAGAAGTATAACAAATTATATTCATGTATACTAAAACCGCCTGTATAAAATCACTACTAATCTTTTGGTAAAATATTTTAGTCAAATATGTATCTTTTTATTTTAGTGTGAGCCTACTGTATAGAGAGTTTACAGATCTGCTGTTTTTCCCCACTGAATATGTCTGTACATTTTTCCAGATAAATTTTAAGAATTGTGTGTAATTTTTCAAATACTCTAATTTAACCAACCCATTCATTAATTTATCAACACTACAAATGACACATTTTTACATACATCTATAGTTATTTTCTTAGGATAAATTACAAAGATAATAATTGGGTGAGATACCTTTTGGATTTTTAAGGTTTTGATATGCACTGCCAAATTACCACCAGAAAAGTTTTACCAATTTATACTCTGTTGGCAGTGTGATAGGGTACTTGTTTCTCCTAAACTCTAAGATTACATTGATATATC